GTCAAGGGTCCCACTGTCTCACTAGTGCAAAACCTGAAAGAGTTAATAAAAACTTGTAGGTATGATAGACACTGTGAAATGAAAGGAAAACACTCAAGGGTAAAGGGCAACTGGGACGTGGAAAAAGAGAAGGGAAAGAAGGAGAAATTTTGTATGTATGTATATACAGGACAGTTAACATAGTTGATCTACTGTTTCCTATTTCTTTGCTGAAAGAAACAGTTAATGAGTCCTTGATTGATCAATATTGCATGTCTCTATTTGTTTTCATGAGAAACCACTTTGAAGATATCAATATGTAATACAACAAGCATTGTTAATTTCCTACCACTTTGTTTGTAACGCTGTATTGTTTGTATTGCTGTTTTGCTATTTTGTAAATGGTTATCTGCCTGTTAATGTTTTCCTTTTATTTTTAAAATTAAAAAAAAAAAAAAAAGAACTTGCAAATAGTAACTATTGTATAAATGCTCCAGCCTGGGGAGAGGTTTATCCTGAAGATAAAAATTCAAGATACTCAGAGTATCATCTACAACAATTTCCATATGACTGAGGGTATTTTTTCATACTTTCTAATAATATAAGAAAATAAAACAGAAGAAATGAATTCTAAAACCTCTTACTATTTCTTAATTTTTTTTCATTACTCTATGTTGCCTGTAATAAACACAATGGGCATGGTGCTGGGCACATGTAATCCCAGCACTCAGGAGGCTGAGGCAGGAGGACTGCTGTGAGTTTGAGGCCACCCTGGGCTACAAGGTGAGCTCAAGACCAGCCTGAACTACACAGAGGGACCCTGTCTCAAAAAGACAGACACATCAATAATAAATAACCCAATTTAAAAAATCAATAAATAAATCAATAAATAACCCAATTTAAAAGTAGAAAAAAACTCCGCATAGTATCGTGATGGCTAATTTGACTGGCTTAAGAACTGCCTCGGGAATCAGTAAAGCACACCCGGGTGTGTCGGTACTTTCACAGACAAAAGGCAAATGGTGCAGCAAACTGAGGGGGAAGGAAGACCCTCCTTACGTGTGCTAGCACCATCCAACAGGTCTCCCTCCAGCACGCAGCCACTTCCTCCCTCATCCGTGGCCACCACCCTCTCCACCCTGATACTCTGCCTCCCCATGGGCCGAGAAACAGACCTAACCAACCATGGTCTCAACCCTCTCAAACCAGGAGACAAGGTAACCCCTCCTCCTGTAAGCTGAAACTGAGGTATTCTGCCGCAAGGACAGAAAGCTGACAGACAGACACGTCACCACAGAGGAGATGCACACGGCCAGCAAGCACATGAGGAGACACTGCACCTCATGAATGACCAACGCGCCAATTTAAAACTACAGTGCGTAACAATTCACGTGGCCAGGGACGCGGCTCAGGGGCAGGAACGTGCTTATCACGCTGCGGAAGGAGGTGGCAGCGAGTGCATGAGAAACTAGAACTTTACACGGTGTTGGTGAGAATATGAAGACAGTGCAGCCTCTGAAAATCTGCGTCCTGTCTTAAAGATTAAACGAATTTACCACACAGCCCAAGAACTCCGCTCTTAGGGATCCATCCAAGAGAAAGAAAACACCCCCGCTCGAAGACGTGCACATGAATGCTCACAGCAGCATTACCCCTGACAGCCAAGACCGTTCACTCAACACCCGTGGCTGACGAACAGACAAACAAAACCTGGCACACCTATTCAATACAACAAAGTCCTGAACAGGAATGAAGTTCTCACACGTTACAGCATGGAAGAGCCCTGAAAATACAGCTAAGTGAAAGAACCAAGACTGCACACTGTATTACTGCATTTAGCTCAAAGGTTCAAAAAGACAATTCTACAGAGATATAAAAGAGATGTTTTTTCAAACTGGACTGTAGCAATGTTTCCACAAATCTACTCCACAATTTTACTAAAACTCCACAAAACTCCACAAATTTACTAAAAAGCACTGAATTGCACTTTACAACTTTACAGTGCGTAAACAGTATGAAGTGTGAGAAGGACTCGGGGTGCAGCTACACGGGGGTGCACTTGTCTAACACATACGAGACCTCGTCTTTGACCCCCAGCTCTGCCAACGGGGCTGCGGGGGCAGACTGGGCACGCGCACATGCGCACGAAGGCAAGAGGGGCAGCATGAGCCTGCGGTCAGGGGCAGTACGGGTCAGCAGCACAGAGCACCTACTGGCTGCCTTGCGGTAAGGAGACAGTACAGAAACCAAACACAGTAATTCTGCAGCTGGAGTAAATTTCCCGCTCGTCCTCTACTGCACCTTGAGGACGCATGTGCTCCCAAGGAGCGGCACCCACAGTGCTGGAATGATGTCGTCTCTTCAGTCACTCCCAGTAGCCAGGACATTAGGCAAGTGACTACAAAACTCAAAGTTGGGTGAATCTATGTGTTACAGATTTAGTAAGAAACCTGTCACTTTTACATCCTGGGCTATATAAGAAAAAAAGGGAAGGAATTCCTACACGGACAGGAACGGAATGGAGAGGAATCGTCCCTACCTAACTCGGGAGCTCGCCGTCACGAGTCTGGCGTTTATTCAGTTCCGGGAAGAACTGCAGGGCTTACGGGCCTCCTTCCTGCCTGCTTTTCCGCAGCCGTCTGAAGAACGCGGAGCTGACAAGAGGAGCAACCGAGTACCGCAGGGTGCGGAGACCCTAACGCCGAGATGGCGCTCCAGCAGTGACCAACGCGCAGGTTTCACTGCAACTCGAAACTCGAACATCTCTCAGAGAGGTTTTCAGAGCTGGGGTGATCCCTTCTCCACATGTGGGGTGAAATGAAATGTATGGGTAACAGCTTCAAGTGTCTTTTAATTGTAAGAAATTTCCTGGAGAAAAAGCTAACTGACCCTCACTGAGCAAGGGCTGCTGACAGCCCGCATCTACATTTGCGTTTCTGAAGCCAAGCGGGGAACTCCTCACCTACCAGCACCTCCCTGAATGAGGCTACCAACCGGAAAGACGCTCTGCCCCACGCCAGCCTGGCCTGCCACAAGCACACGGCCAAGCGCACGCTCAGATGGGCCCCACTGCCGACAGGCACCCCTGCCCGTCTGGGGCCCGGGAGAGGGCACCGGGCGGAGCTCTGGTGCTGCAGCTTCCTCTGAGGAGAGGACTTGTGTAACAGCCCCGCCAGCTGGGAGCCTCCCATCACCACAGGGTGTAAGCCCCGTCTCTCCATCTGGTTCTACAGGACTTTCATCGATGTGTTCTGCGCTCTCAATTTAAAACACACATGAAAGACCTAAAATGAACAAGGTGGCTCAGAGGCTTCCTCAGAAGCTTGGTGGATTCAAGGTTAGCTACAAAATCAGTTTTATAGGCTAAGCTTCGCCTGCCCTTCTTTACAGTGTATTTGTATTTCCCACCAAAGAAGTTCTAATCACAAGGAAAACAATACATGTCGGTCTTATGTATACACACATACACCTCGGCGCAGCATCCAGCAGATGCACTCAGCTACGTAACGAGACCCTTGCCCCCCCCCCGAGTCTTGCAACGGGGCAAACAGTGCATTATGGACCCTGTATACAGGATCTGCCTCCCCCCACACTCCCCAAGGCAGTCAGAAGTTCCGCCAGTATGCAGGAAAAGCAAGTTGCAACCCTGATTAATTACTTTAAAAGGGACAAGCTGCAACGTAGTTTATCGTCCACACAAGGACACACAGTCACCCTACGAAAGGACAGGCCATCACCTATTCAGAAACCTTCAGTGATGGCCCGTCACTGTGAACGAGACCACAGTCTATCCCTGTAACCTGCGTACAGGCCGCAACTCCAGCACCCATCCCGCCAGGCAAGGGCAGCCCCCTCCTCAAAAGGGCCGAGTCTGTCCACACACCTCAGTGCGCTACAGTAAAGCCTGTCACACAGAAGCCCCAGTAAATGTGGGCCTGGACTAAACCGCTCCGTGAATCTCACTGTTCTTCATCCTCCACCCAACGCAACCTACGGCACGCACGCCACAGTGGGCGGACTGGGCCTCTTCAAGCTCTAACAGCTTTCCCATCACTGACCCCCTTACATAAAAGGTTTTCCTTCATACGTGTTTTTGCCGCCTACATTCCTCATTTGCCAGCTGCCACTGCCAGCTACAGGACTCCAGGTAGATTACCTAACCTCTCTGTGCCCCGGTCTGGCTGCCCGTATAATGATGCATTGGGACGCACTGACAGGGTGACCAAGGTACGGTCACCTGCACTTACTACCCGCACCGTGCCATAAAAATGCCTAGCCCTTCGTGTAATGTCACCCTCTAAGCTCCTCGAGGGCAGAAATCTTCACCCCTGCTGACCACCGCTGTGTGCTCAGCCTACAAACCATGTCTAGCAGAGAAGACCTGGTTATTTATATTTAACCCCCTTCCCTGGCAACAGGGTTTGAACACGGGCCTTTGCACTGAGCTGTATCTCCAGGTCTCCCCTTTTTATTCTTTGACACAGTCTGGCTGAATTTCCCAGGCTGGGCTTGATCTTGAGATCTTCCTGCATCAACTTTCCAGAGGGCCGGGATTACAGGCATACCCCACCGTGCCAAGCTAGCAGGCCGGAATCGTAATGAACATAAACTCTATGTTTTTCTGCGTCCCTTGCTTTGTGCCCTACCACTGCCACACCCCCTACATCCCACATAACGTTTTTTCTTCTAAAAAGGTGCAATTCTCCTTCCATTTAAAATGAGACTCACTCGTATGTCAGCAGAAAGAGCACTTTACCTGAAATTAAATACTCCAGTTTCCTGCCTCCGCCTGCTCAATTTTAAGCACAGACAATGACTGAGAGTCGCAGACAGTTCCAAGAGCTACAGTGAGTCTGCAACTGTGCAAGGTTCCTACCTCGCGCTCCCACATTCAGGTACGAGAACTACTTTAGCACACACATTCCAAACACAGCATACCAACGTTACAAGCCCCGGAAATCGTGGAGGGTAATACAAACTCAGCGTACTTTAAAAATAGAATTTTACAAAAATAAAATTACCTAAAATTAAGCCCACCATTGTACTTAAATATCCGGTTCCACTTCCCAGGTTAAGAAAAGATAATCCTGGTTGAAGTTTCAGTGCTTCCATAACTTCAGAATAAATGCAAGGTGCGGACAAGTGTATGTTTCCATGCTTCCAGGCTAAGTCTTTGTACGCATTGTCTCTGTAGCCTTCCAAATAGTAATCTCCGCGATCGATCGCTCGGAAAGCTTGCTCCACTCTCTCAGTGCGGATATACTGGGCTTCTTTTAGGTTATCAATTAAGTCGTCATTATCTTCCCCAGCACTCACCGCTCCTCCCATGATAGTATTCAAATCAAATCATAAATTTAAAAAGGTAACAAAATCAGTAGAAATGACTTCCAATAATGTACTGTGATTTATTTTCTTTTTAATATTGCACTTAGTTTCCAAAAATAAATTAATCCTGCAAGAAAATAAAAAGAAACAAGTTTAAATTAATCCTCAAGAGAAAAATAATTCCAGTTTATTAAATATGCGTCATTATATCTATCATTTCTTCAGAATATATTCTGCTCCAGGCATCGTATTAAATGATGTAAGCATACTTTTCTAAATTCTTAGAAAGACCATGAAAGTACTTCCTGCATGACCTCATCCATACAATGGGAAAGCTAGAACACGGAGATGTTAAGACAGCTGGACCTCAACGAATTACAATCAGAGTCAGTCTAGAACTTGGTCACCAACCTAGCCGCACCGCAAGGGCTCGCCATGCTGCACAGGGCCGGCGGGTGCTGCTCTGCGGAGCGGCGCTGCTGGGACTCAGGCCCAGGCTTTCGGGTTCCGGAGCCAGGCTCACCATCGCCAGGCTCACAGCTTCTTCACAGCACAGCAGCCCTACTTCCACAAGCAGTTAGCTGATCATCAGAAAGTCAACCATTCCAAAGTATGCTGCGTAGATTTAAAATGTTAACAGAGAATATACTACCTCAACAATAAATACAAAGTCCAAAAAAGCAGACTCTCAACTCTATATACACACGGTGAAGACTGCTTTGATAAACATTGTCTCAAAAAAAAAACAGGACCACAAACTTTACTAACAATCTTAATGGTCTAAGCGCGAGAACAAATCTTTTGCATACATTTCTATACACAAACAACATACACTTCCTTAAGAGATAAAACTCAGCATCTCTGAAAGCAAACCTAAGTGGGCCTTGATAAACTAAAGAATTTCAATACTTACTATTAAATACACAATTTCAGCTCTATATAAAGTTAATAAGTAAATTAATGTATCAATTTCTAAATTAACCAATGAGGAGACACGGAAAGTGAGAAAGGAAACACCCATGGCCAGAAACAATCGCCCTGACAGCCAAGCGCAGCAAGGATGTGCTCCCACTGCTGGCTTCGCCGGGGCAAAGCACTGGGCCCTGAGCAGCCGCAGAGCCAGGCGGCTGCCGCTCCACCAGAGGTGCAGCAGACCCCCCACCGGCGCGGCCCAGCTCCGCCCAGGGCCCCTGGGTTCTTCCCTAGCATCTCCTCAAGAGCTTTCGAAGTAAGGCAACTACTGTGAACTCTCACCTTCATTCATGTTTAATGTATTCCAGCTCAATTACAAAAGCCGAATGAGTCTACTTCTCATCTCCAAACTGAAAAAAACTTAAAAGTACAGTTCAAATTACAAGATCTCACAGCCCTTCTCCACAGTGCTGAGACGTTCACCTGCTATCCCTCCAGCCTGTCTCAGGGCTGGCAACCTTCTACAGCTAAGCACCGACGCTTGCTTGCTGAGTGCAAGTCTAGCACTTCAAGACCGTCTTAAAGACACAGCTTCAGCACCAGTCACCCTTTCCAACTAGCCCCCCTCCCAAGATGAAAGCCAAACTGCCCAGGAAACAGTCTCCGTCAGTATCCAGCATGGAAGCTGCCCAACAATTTTAAAAGTATAGTTCTGATGACACAGACACAATAAATGGCTCTACTGTAAATGACACAATTTGTCACTTTGAAAAAATCACTCCCCTCTGTGCTTCCCAGGACTTCAGGAGAACCTGGCCCTGAAGTTTCTCCTCAGCTCCCCCATCAACCCACCCTGTGCAGAATCACAGCATACAAGCTGTCTTGTACATACCTCACCTTCGTGGGGAAAGAGGAAAGGAATGATCCAATAGACAAGAACTGTCACCACTCACGGATGTTTCTAAACACAGTATCTCATTAAAACATCAAAAGAGACCTATGAGAAAGGCATTAGTGTGCCTACATTCAAGGGAGAAACTAGGTGCGAAGAAGCAGAATTCCAGAAGCACCTGAATTCAGGGACCAAGGGGAGTTCCCTCAAAAGCAAGCACTGGGAGCCGGGCGTGGGGCACATGCCTGTAGTCGGGGCACCCTGACAGCTAAGGCAGAAGATACCACAAGCCAAAGCCCAGCCTGGGCCACGCGGTGACTCAGTGAAACCTTGTCCCAAACTAAGACAGAAAAGGCTGCAGCTCAGCAGGAAGGCCCTGAGTTCACTCCCCATATCAAAAAAAAGAAAAGAAAAGAAAAACAAAATCACTCACAGTGTGTTTTAAAGGAAGGAGGAAACTGTAGGCTGAGAAAACAGCTGGTACTCCATCAAGAGCAAATGATATTTTAGAGAAATTACCTGGAGTTAGCCTTCCAGTAGCCTTTGTGTTATGGACCAGTGGTTTCTTATTTTTTTGTCCTGGATCCTTTGAGAGCCTCACTACACCTATGGACCTTCTCTCTACTAAAAACCTGAGTAAATCAGAAATTTTACACACAACTTCAGAAGACACCTGAACTCTTACCACAGGGGCCTAATTTTAAAACATCCGTTACCGCCAATAAAGAGCTGGGCTAGTAAGAAAGTCAGATAAACAGGTCTGAACAGAAAGCTGCGAGGATACCAAGGAAGGAAGCGGTGAGGAATGGTTTCTTGGAGGTACAACAGTTCCCCTTACCCATGGTTTCATTTCCAAGGCCCAGTTACCCATGGTCAACAACAGTCTAAAAATATTACATGGAAAATTCCAGAAGTAAACAATTCCTAAGTTTTAAAACTGAATACCATTCTCAGTAGCATGATCAAATCTAACACTATCATGCTCAACCTCACCTAGGACGTGACTCATCCCCTGGACCAGCAGGGCTGCTCTGCAGATGCTACCTGCTCATCAGTCACTCGGGAGCCACAGTGGGTGTGAGAGCAAGTGTTGTGGCAGAGCTGGACTGCTCCAGGACAAAGCCAGCGCCATTCACCTCACTGCATGTCGTCATGTAAACGCCAATAACGCATCATGAGAAGAAGGGTAAGTGCGGGACAGTAAAACATTCAAGGAGCAAGACACCACAACTTTACGGTATATAACTATTCTAACTTATTATTGCTAATGGCCTACTATGCCTAATTTATAACTCAAAGTTTATTATAAGTTTGTTATGCTTTATACCTGGATCACCCCCAAAGCCGCGTGTCTCGTAACTGAATGTGACGTTAGGGGGTGAAGCCTGGTTGAGGGAGGGGAGTCACAGATTTGACCTCGAAGGGCGCACATCCCTCCCTTCTCCCTTAATCTCTCTCTGCCTCCTGCCTGTCACCCTGAGCACTTCTCCTCTGCATGACACCCTGGTTAGTTTGTGAGCCAAAATAAACCCGTCCTCCTTAAACTTGTGGGTGTCAGGTATTGTGTCTCGGCAATGTGAAAGTAAACAGTTGTGCATTTTAAGTATGTATGTATGTATATGTAAGAAAAGAGAGGCCAGGCGTGGTGGTGCATGTCTGTAATCCCAGCACTCAGGAGGCTGAGGCAGGAGGATCACTGCAAGTACAAGGCCAGCCTGGGCTACAAAGAATTCAAGGCCAGGCTGAACTTCACAGTGAAACCCTGTCTCAAAAAGATAAAAGAAAAAGAAAAAACTAGTACACAGAGTTTGTACATATGGTGTAAGCAATGAGAAAGACAACTGTACATGCATGTATGAGAAAAAATAGTACATACAGTATAAAAAAATTTTACTCTTCTCAATAATCCTTGGGACCAGGAGTTTCAGATTTCGCACATTTCGTACGTTTTGGAATGTTTGCCTATGGATAATAAAGTATCTTGGGGACGGGCACAAGTCTGAACATGAAATTCACTTAAACAGATAGCCTGAGGTCATTTTACACAACAGTTTAGTGTGCCTGTCTTTTGACTATGACCCATCTGTGACATGACACGAGGTGCTGAATTTTCCACTCGTGTTTTTATGCCAACACTCAAAAGCTTCAGATTTCGAAGCACTTTGAACTTCAGATTCTCAGTTTAGAGATACTCAACCATGAACAGTTCAGTGCCACCCAAACTTTCAGGTATCTACTACCCCAAGGACAAGGAGAGACTCACGTATCATCCACTAAAATGCTATTTCTCTGATGCAGAGTAGCTCATCCACACAGCACAAGGATATGACTATACTTAGGAAATGGGGTTCACGCCACATGTTCCTGCCGGGAAGTGATCAGGAAGGATCAAGCCTCTTCTCACTGAAGAGAACCCCTGAGCCATGTATGTAGATTTTAAGCAAAAAGTTTATACTACGCAGCACTTCTGCAGAAGGCAAGCAGATGCTGGTGAAGTAGCTTCAGTGATCTGGAGAAGCTATGAATGCAAGTGAAAAGTGCTAAGACATTCCTCCTGACAGGTTAACAAAGAAAACTGTCTCCAGGTTCAGGTTTTTAAATTTTGATGAAAAGCCTATCCACATGAAGCCAACTCTCCTCCAGGACCTGACCCTTACAAGGGAAGATGAATGCTAGGGCTTCAGAACATAGAGAACTGACTGTGATGCTAGGCGCAATCTCTAGGAGAGATTTAGCTGTGCTAGGAATTTTATTAGGATCCCTACTGTTTTTGTGGTACAGTAAGCCTACCCCTATCTTTGTAAAACATGAGGCGTTTTTCTATACTATAGTTTAAAAAACAGACCAACAAAACAACACTTCACTCTCAGAGCCTTCAAAAGGTCTTGGGGGACCCAAAGGAACCCAGACTGCACCTAAAGACAACTGATGCGCCGTCTAGCTGTGGTAAAGCTGTACAAGGACATTGTGGGGCACCTTACCTCGACATGGTGGAGGTGGGGATGGAGCAATGAGAAGAGTTCCCCGGAGAGGAGGAAACACTGGTACGTGTAGAAGGCAGGAGGAAAAGGTGTCACGTAGAAAACACACACGCAAAGACAAGGTAAGAGGCAATAATACCACTAACTCCTCAAGACCCTAAAAGTAGTACGGAAGACCTAAAGTCAGAGACACAAAGCATGCATGCAAAGCGAGGAGCCAGACGGGCTCACAAGCCGTGCACACTGGGCCTGGCCTCCTCTTGCAGACAGCAGAAGTCAGGGAAGGCCTTAGACAACGAGAAAGATACCGTATAACTAGTATCAGAGACACTGATCCTTCTG